TCATGAATTCACTACTTTTATAAATACTTGTTGTATTTTGAAGAAAGCTTGTCTTGAAAGTCTATTTGTTATTGTTCTATTCTGTTGTCAAAATACAGAATTTGTCTTCAGTTGCTGAAAAAGACGTGAAAACCACAGATGTTGATTGATTCGAGTTCAAATAGTTGACGAAGACAAGAGTGAATAACTGAAATCGCTTTTTAAAACTTTCCTATCGATTTTAATTTGAAGAACAATTTTGAAACGAATTAATTGAATTTGATAATAAAATTTCATGTTATCGTGAATATTCTACACGTATTTTGCTTCATATTTATGATGATTCTTGATGTCAATATGAAAATCGTCGAGTAAACCCTAATCATATTCTGATTTCTGACAAACATTAAATGAAGGAATTGTTCATTCTATCTTTAAGTTATATCACAACTAAAATTTGCAAAACACGTTTGTTCTTTATTTAAAAGTTTTCATGAATGTAACTTTTCCTTAAGAAAACATTATCTCATCGGAAAATATCTTTTATATAGATAATGTTTCGTTTTAAGAATACTTTTTATCGAAAATGTATGTCAGCATTAGTACTTGGATTGATTTGAAACCAAGTTTGAACGCCCTGCATACACATCAACTAATGATTTTGAAAATAGATTGATGTTGATACAATGATAAAAATATTATGTTAATGTATCAAACAATCATGACTTTGACGGTATCTTATCAAAGTCATTCTATTAAAGATACATATGTTTTGTTTTAACTTATGATTAATCATTACTGTGACATTAAAATGCGATAAAACAATATATCCATATGTTAAAAAAAATGCATTTACTATCAAGATAAAATAAAAGGATGTTTTCTTAGTAAATTTGATTTTTAGCCTTGTCACATATTGTTCTTTTAGAAAATCATTAGAATTATTTTAAAAAATTTATTTGCGACGCACATTATTCAATATGAATCAATTGTTAAAATTCGTTTGTCTAATTTTTTTCTGTTCAATATGTGAAGGATCTTATCGTTTATATCATACACATATTCCGATAACAAACAATGATCATCATTGTTTATATCGTTTTGAAAAAGATTCAAATGAATTAGCTCGATTTCTTGTACCTTATTGTATTCGTTCAAATAAAATCTATTCAAAACAAGAATGTTTGGGAAGAAAATATTCATTTTATCAACTTTATCTTATGAACGTAACGAAACAAAATTTATTCGATTGGTTTGCGCCAATTGATGTAATTGATGATTATTCATCTTATCTTCGAATGGAAAAAACAATTGAAAGTAATGAAAAAATATTTTGTAATTGTTCAGATGATTTTACTTTTGGTGAATATTGTCAATATAAATTTACAAATGGTAATGAAAGAAGTACATTTGATGAAATTGTTATTTCAACATTCGAAGCAAATAAACAGGATATAAATAGTTTATATTTATTGAGTGCACAAAGTTCTCTGACATGTTATGATGTTTTTAATTGTACAACTTATACTGGTATTTGTCTTGATTGGCGTGAAATTTCAGATGGTTATGTTCATTGTACAAATGGTGCAGATGAAAAGTATTTTATAGACATGGAATTAAATGAATGTGATCCGAAAAAGGAATATCGATGTCGAAATGGTCTTTGTATTCCACGAAATTTTATTTATGACCGTACATTTGATTGTCCCGATTGGTATGATGAAGCACACGCTTATCAACGCTACCAGTCAATACATTTTAGTGATATATGTTCTTCGTCATCAGCAATTACTGAATGTGAAGAATATAATGTTGGTCTTGGCTATTTTCCTTGCGGCAATGGACAACGTATTAGCACATACTACGAACAAAACCCTAGTTGTTCAAATTATCGCGATGCTTTCATGCTTAAAAATCTTTTTCAAACTTATTTTAATATAAGTCGTGGTGATCAATGTTATATGGTTATGTTGTGTAATTTTCATATTCTTTGCTTATTTGAACCTTGTTCAAATGGACTTGAAAAATATTGTGAAGAGTTATTATCTGGTTATGATATAAATACATGTCCCGAACAATTCTTTTATCCACCAGGCCCTTTTGTGTTTCCATTTGTTCGATTAATTTACAAAGCACGTCATCTATGGGATAATATTGAACCTGATTTTATATGTTGGAATAGTTCGATCTGTAATATCTATGATCAAACATCGAACTTTATCTTTCATGGTTTCAATTGTTTCAGCACTTCGGAATATTTTCCACGTTTTATGTTTGATAATGATCTCAAAAATGTGTTTACAACGGCTACTAGACTGTTTCTTGTAATACAAAGTCTTTTTTCTCAATGTACTCATAAACAAAATGAATCGAAACTTTATCGTTGTTCAAATCAGTTGAGTATATCTATTCATCGTATTCTTGATGGTCATTTTAGTGATTGTATACCATGGTCCATACTTACAGAAGATGAATATCGAAGTCGTGATAATTATCAATTAGCATGTAACTTACCCGATCGATTTCAATGTGGTTTTTATCATTGTGTTTCACGATATGCTCTTCAAGATGGTTATGGAAATTGTGATTCAAAATTAGATGAAATATATTTTGTAACATGTTCAGATACATTTAGTTGTCAATATATCAGAGAAATCGATTTGTCCGAAGAACCATGGATTCGTTATCAAACATTTTGTAATGGATATGACATGATCAAAGAGGCATTCGGGTAAAAGAATTTCATTTTAAAATTAAATTTGTTTCTTTTTTCTAGCGATAGAAATAATACAGATGAAACCGATTGTGAAATGTGGCCTTGTGATGCAGTTTATACTCATTGTGATGGTTATTGGAATCGAATAAATGGTTGTGATGAATTGAATTGTACTTATATTCAAGCAGTATCATGTGCACATGATGAACATCCCTATGCTTATTTGAATTTAACGACGATGAGATGTTTAACATTGTCAAAAAATGGTGATGGAAATTTCGATTGTCTTTTTGGTACGGATGAACGTGTAACACTTTTAGAAAAAGAACGATACTTAATAGCAGACAATTTGACTGGTGAACTGTATCCAGAAAGATCGTTTAAAGTTCCATGTTGGAATGATTTCAACAAAACTATCTTAACAAGTCAAATTTGTGATCGTACAAAAGATTGTATACTGGGAGATGATGAACTTTTTTGTGAATGGCATCTCAATTCATCATGTGATCAAGATGATGAATTTACTTGTAAGAATGGTACATGTATTTCGAAAACAGATCAATGGTGTAATGGAATTATCGATTGTTTTCCAGATGGCGAAGATGAGCGATTATGTGATATAATGAAACCACGACGCATTTATCATACAGATAGTGTCACGCCTTATAAATATTTTCTATTTGATCGATTTGTTCTAATTGAATATCGATCGAAAGTCATTGAATATCCTGTAAATTGTCATCGAGGTATTCCAATTTACAATGAATTAGAAATGATGTACGAATGTTTATGTCCACCAAGTTATTATGGTTTACAGTGTGAACGACAAAGTGAACGTCTTACAATATTTTATCGTATTGATATTCCACCGACATTTGATCGACTATCAATATATCGACTTGTTTTATATTTGCTCGATGAAAATCATCAAGTTTTATCTTATGAAACCATGACCTACACATTTTCTGATAATCAATTTTCATTAAAACAAGTTCTATATCTTAATTATCCTCGAAGTATCAATGGTTATTCTGAATTTAAACAAAAATTTGTTCGTATTAATGCTTATCGAGTAACAAATACTGCCGTCGATTCAACGTCTTTATCTTGGTTCTATTCAGTTCCATTTTCATCTTATCTCCCCGTTACTCGTGTTGTTGTATTACTTTATTTTGAAGAATCACTCGATAATCAAATGTCAGTTTGTCGAAAATTTGGTACATGTCATCATGGTGTTTGTCATATATTTATTAATTCAAATGAACCTTTTTGTGATTGTGAAGCAGGTTGGTCTGGTGTAAGATGTGATCAAAAACAATCGATAGATTTATGTGAAACATATCATTGCAATTCTCAAGTATCGAAATGCATTTCTTATAATAATCATACATTTTGTCTTTGTTTTCCTGGTTATTATGGTCCAAAATGTGAAATATCGTTTGATAGTTGTTCATCAATTCAATGTGAAAATAATGGTACATGTGTTTCACTTGACGAACGTACAATCTCACAGATTTGTGTATGTCCAAAGAATTATTTTGGTACTTTGTGTCAATATCCATCTGCCCAATTAATATTGAATATTCCATCCTATATGTCTTATATTCCATTATTAATTATTCATTTTGTGCATTCACCTCAAAGTGTTCATGGTGTTTTTATTCATCAAGATTTTTATTTTTATCGACATGTTTATCCTCGTAATCAATTGAATGTTTATGATCAAAGTAATAGTTTTCTAACACCTTTTATTTTTGCACAAATATTTCTTAATTCTTCATCATTTTATGGTACGTATTATCTTATTTCTTTATCAAATCAAAATCGAACTAATTTAACAAGTGAAATCAAAGAAATTTATCGTTGTCCACATATTAATGAATTTCTTAATTCGACATTAAGTAAAGAACAATGGTTAAAACGAGTGAAATATTATCATTTATTTACGAAAAATACCAAATGTTTTCATGATGAAATTTATATGTGTTTAGTTGATAAATACGGTTTACCCGATTGTTTAATATTTAATCATAATGTTGCAAATTGTAGTGATCGAAATATTTGTACAAATAATGGTCGATGTTTGCGACGACAACGATTAGGACAATCTCATTCATTTGTTTGTATATGTCCACAATGTACAGCTGGAGATTTTTGTCAAATACAAATGAATGAATATTCTTTTACACTTGATTCAATTCTTGGTCAAATTATTCTTACAGATGTTCCATTAAAGAATCAACCAATAATGATCAAAATTTTAATTTTAATTCTTTCATTTATGTTAATTATTGGTTTTATATCTAATCTATGTTCATTTATTGTTTTTTCTCATAAAGATGTTCTTAAAATTGGTTGTGGATATTATCTTTTAATTTTATCAATTCTTAATCAAATATCTATTAGTATGTTCATTTCTTATACAATTTATTTATTAATTAATCAAATGACAATCATTGAAAATAAACAATTTATAAAAGTGAGTTGTTTATTATTTGATTTTTTCATTCGAATTTTCCTTTCATATTGTGATTGGATTTATACATGTATTTCATTTGAAAGAATGATTAGTACAGTTAAAGGTGTCAAATTTAATAAAATTTTAAGTATTCGAATGGTTAAATATGTCATTTCAATAGTATTTATTGGAATTATTTTAATATCAATTCATAATGTATTTAGTCATGTTTTAATTATTGATCCTCGATCAGACGATCGATTGTGGTGTGTTATTCAATATAAACAATCATGGTTACGTACATATGATATTTTAACAGGTATTTTTAATAATTCTGTACCATTTTTTCTCAATCTTATTTGTTCAATTATTCTCATTGTATCACTTTCAAAAACTCGTCAACGCGTCGCAGTAAAACAAAGTTATCGAAAAACAATTATTTTACAATTTAGACAACATAAAGATCTTCTTATTGCTCCATTTATGACTATAAGTACAAAATTACCGCTTTTAATTGCATCATTAGCCATTAAATGTATAAATAAACAATCGCACTTATATTTAATTTTATTTGCTTATTACCTTTCGTTAGCACCACTGATTAGTACATTTATCATGTTTGTTTTACCTTCGGATTCTTATATGAAAATATTTAAAGAATCTCTTCGCCATTTTCGACACTGGATAATGAATAATTAGCTGACATTGAATTCATCATTTATAATCGACGTCTTTTCATGAGGAAAAAATTAACAAATTGCTTTTTTCGAGTTTTTCGTGAACCTATCATCGCTTTTTCTTCTTTATCTAATCAAATAAAATAACGCTCGTCGAGGGAGACTCGCATTACCCTCGACTGATTGGGTTATACTTCAGATAAAACTTGTGCTTCCAAATGATGTCTCGAGAACGGTCCTCGTCA